AACGATGGAAATAGCATCAAATCCCATCGAGCATCCAGGGATGATCCCCACCAGCCTCCGTGTTTCCAAGGTCAGGACTCTAAGTTCAGAGGGTACAGTGACTTGCTCAGGACTCTAAGTTCAGAGGGTACAGTGACTTGCTCAAGGTCACAGAGATTATGAGAGCAGGAGTTAGGACTGAGAACTCCTGGTTCCCAGGCCCACGCATTTTCCCCTCCATCTCACACCTTAAATGGACAAATTCAGTCTAATAACGAACTGAGTCAACCTGTTATCTCTAGGCCAGTGGCTCTCCACAGGGGGAAAGGGGAAGGAGGGGTGTAGCAGAATTATCCATTACTCATCTCCAAGCCCAGAAACTGTGACTGGTGTGGTGGATGAGAGCCCAGCCTTTCCAGAAAGGTAGACTAGAGTTTGATTCTCGATTGTGTGCTACAGGGCCAGTTCCTTAACCTCTCGGGAGCCCCCAGGATCCTCATTTGTAAACTGTGGCTAATGGCACTCACCTCATATCCCCGTGAAGATTACGGGAGACAGTGGGTGTAAAGGGCTGAGCCCAGGGCCTGGCCAGGGTCCCTGGGCCACTGGTCCTGCCTAGAACACCAGTTTTCTCCTCCCACTGTGCGCAAGGCTGAGCTTTTGGCACCTGCTCCCTACGTGGCCCACACAGCTTACAAGGGGGTGTGGGGCAATGGCCAAGGATCATCTTCGCGTTTCCTTGGCATTGGCTTCTATTTCCACACCAGGTCCGCTCACCGGTCTTCCTCCCCAACCGCCATAACACTATGAGCTCTGGAAGGACAGAGCTCCGTGTCATTCAGTGGCTCACACACACTGCCCAGCACAGAAAGTGCTCAGTGAATACATGACTAAAGCATGCACTTGCTGAGGACAGGGAAGCACATCTCTGTTCTCCTCATGCCTTGCCCCAGGAGTTGGCACAGCGCCTGGCACATAGTAGATGCTTCGTGCATATTTGTTGAATTGAAAAAGAATTTAGAGGAGACTATATTCATATGTACTTGGATATGTTAAGAAAATTCTGTGGGAGGAGACCCCGCTGCGAAGAGCTGATTCTAGAAAAGGAGACTGAGAGGGGTTTGGATGGGAGGGAAACTTACTTTTCTCTGCATATGTTTTTGTTCTGCTAGAAGTTTCATCATTTGCATATGTTACTTTAAAAAAAAACCACTATGTTTACTTTAAAAAAAAATCCAATGTAGTGTGGGGCACCCGGCTGGCTCAGTCAGGGGTCATGAGTTCAAGCCCCATATTGGGAGTAGAGCTCATTTAAAAAAAAAATCCAATGTAGTGCAAATGAAATAACTGACTGAAAAATGAAACATGCAGAAAAATGAAGAGGCTGGAAGTCTTTGGTCAGGAAAAAAAAAAATGCCACCTGAGGAGGGAGGGTTTCAATGAGTATCTTCCATTTTCTGGAAGGTTAGAAGGAGAAAGTTGACCATCTGTTCTCTGTATCTACAGAGTAATAGGAAATGGGCTGAAATTGTAGTGGGAAATATGAGTTAAACATAAGTAAGTCATTACTGCCGATAGGAGTTGATAAATACCAGAAAAGGTTGCCACGGGATGTGATGAGCCATCCTGGAAACTTGAAGGTATAGAGAGCTCATGGGGCTCTGCTGATTTGCTTGTCCTCCCACAGAGAGAGATGGCTGAGCTTATTGAGACTCTGTCCCTGTTTCTGACACTAGAAGAGACCTTTAATCTGGTGAAGGTCCACGCTATCATCATTCCCTCTTCCCTTCCTGGTGTGAGCATCCCACCAGGCCAACTGAGAGTCTGGTGATTTCCGTACAACATGGCCCCCAACCACAAATCAGCCATTGAGTTTGGGTCTCAACCATAGAGATAATGAAAGGGTCCAATGCTGGGGGGAAAAATCATCTGTGCTGGGGACTTGCTAAGTGATTTTCAAGGGCAATTTTGATTAGGTCTGCCTGCCGCCTTAAACACTCCCATCCAGCTGACTTCCTGCTGGTTGTCATTTCCATCATAACTTCATACATTTGCTACCTATGTGGGCAGCCTTTATCAACACGTTTTTAGACATCACCTAAATGTGCATGCTTTTAAACACGACATAAAAGGGACTGTACCACAAGAGAGGCAGCACGGCAGAATAGTTAGTAAAAAAGACTCTGAAACCAGACTGCTTGGGTTCTCTCTTGTCTCACTGCCTCAGCTTCTTCATCTGCAAAATGGGGATAATGATGATGATGATGATGATAGTATGCACGTCCAGTGTTTTTTTTTTTTTAAGATTTTTTTTTTTTTTTTTTTGAGAGAGAGAGAATGAGAGACAGAGAGCATGAGAGGGAGGAGGGTCAGAGGGAGAAGCAGACTCCCTGCCGAGCAGGGAGCCCGATCCGGGACTCGATCCCGGGACTCCAGGATCATGACCTGAGCCGAAGGCAGTCGCTTAACCAACTGAGCCACCCAGGCGCCCCGTCTAGTGTTTTTACAGTATAAATGATATAATACATGTAAAGCACTTAGAATACTGCATGGTACATAATACATTTATTTTTCAACCTCAACGGTATTCATTTAGTCAAGAACACTCGATGAGTCTAAGATGCTGGGGATTCGGTGGTAAACAAAACAGATAACTCTCCTCATAAAATTTATGTTCGGATGTTCTAGAAACAGGCTGAGGTCAGTGTGCCAGGCAGAGAACAAAGTAAGGGGACCACAGTGAGAGGAGAGACATAGTGGAGAGCCAAATCATACACATAGAGGCTCTGGTGGGCCATTTTCAGAATTTTGGCTTTACTCTGGAGAAATGGAGAGCCACCCTTGCAGAGTTTTTCAAAACTTATGACTTGGAAATGACATCAAACTTGCAGAAGAAAGCTGTAAGAAAATTGCAATTGTTAACATTTTGCCCCATTTGCCTGATCATCTCTCTTTACATTTATTTTCTGAAACACTTAAGCGGTGGAGCATGGGATACTTGATCTCGAGGTTGTGAGTTTGAGCCCCACAATGGGGGTGGAGATGACTTGAAAATAAAAATCTTCTTTTAAAAAAAGAAACACTTTAGAGTAAATTGGAGCTATGGTGCCCCTTTACCCCAAACACCTCGGTTGGCATTTTCCTAAGAACAAAAACTGCTTCTTACATAACCATAGTATAATTATCAAAATTGGGCAATTTACCTTGATGTAATCTCATCTCCTCTACGGTCCATATTAACATTTACCTACTGTCTCACTAATATCATCTATTGCAGTCTTCCCCTCTGATCCAGGAACAATCAAGGATGACCAGCTGCTTTTAGCTGTCATTATGTTTTAGTCTCCTTTAATCTGGAAATATTCTTCGACTTACCTTGACTTTCATGATGTCAACATTTTTGAAGTGTACAGGCCAGCCATTTTACAAAATACCCCTCAATTTGGGTTTGTCTAATCTTTCCTCCTAGTTCTGGTTATGTATTTCTAGCAGGAAGAGCACAGAAGTGATGTTGCGTCCTCAGGACATCACATTAGGACACACATGATGTCACTCTGTCCCATGATTGAAGATGCTAACTTTGATCAGTTGGGTAAGGTGACATTCACCAGATTTCTCCACTGAAAAGTTGTAATTTTTCCACTTGTAATTCAGAAGTGATCTACGGGAAAATACTTAGAGTCTGAGTAAATATCCTGTTCCTCCTTGTCTTAGTCTTTTGGGGCTCCTGTAACAAAACACCGAAGACAGGGTAACTTATAAACAACAGACATTTATTTCTCACAGTTCTAGAGACTGGGTGTGCAAGATCAAGACACTGGCCAATTCAATGTCTGGTGAGGGCCCACCTTATGGCTCATAGATGGCCATTTCTTGCTGTGTCCATACACGGCAGAAGCAATGAGGGAGCTCCTGGGGGGTCTAATCCCATTCAGGAGAGCTTCACCCTAATGACCTCCCAAAGGCCTCCAAATATCGTCACAGTGGGGATTGGGATTTTGACATATAAACTTAGGCTCCTTTGAATTCTGTTAACCATAGTGGAATTAAAATTAAAAAAAAAAAAAAAAAGCATGGCATTGCAAAGAAAGCCCTTCCACAGCCTGGTCCTTGTGGACTTCTTCCTCTCCATCCCCTACTGCTCCCCTTTCTCAAATCCTATGCTTTGCCTACAGTGAACCATTTAGAATTCCCCAAATGTCCCATTCTCTTTCATTCTTCTGTGCTTTTGCAAATGTTGTTCCCTTTGTCTAGAATATTCTTTTCACAGCCTGTCCTCCCCCACGCCTTGGCTACCTGAAGATTTTCTACTCATCCTTCAAGACTTGACACAGTTATTTTCTTTTCTTCTGTGAAGTCTTCCCTGAGCCATTCCTTCCCCCTGCATCCCATCCCAGGTAGAAATTATCATTCAAGCCATTGTGGGATGAGAGTTCCTCTCCTTTGGTGCCACGTTTCTGGACTCCTAGGAGAGATAAAAGTCACATTTTCAGGGGGTTTTTTTGTCCTAATGTATCAAGGGTAATGATTGGCCCTGTTGATACAAGTGAAGCCCTGAGGCTGACATCCTTAAGGCTTAACAGTGGTAGGATTCCCAGGAGAGCAGAGGCCTGCTCAGACTGCCCTGGGGATATGGGTAGGCCAGAACTCAAAGGAACCTGGGGCACAGGGAAGAGGGAGACAGGCTTAGTTAACTAGGAGACTCAATTCAATTGAGTTTTGAGGCTTCTATAAGGACAAACCCTTTCCCTTAGTGGCCTCCAAATCTTTCATAAATTTTTTTAATGTAACCTCTACACCCAACATGGGGCTTGAACACATGACCCCAGGCTCATGAGCTACATGCTCTACTGATTCAGCCAGCCAGGTGCCCCTGTGCCCTCCAGATCTTCCTTTTTCTTCTTTTTCTTGTTATCTGACAGTGAGCTGTGAACATCCAAGTCGGTCACACCCTTTATGTCAGCTGGAAAACTATGTAAGATACCTTAAGATCACCCTCCTGTAAAGGTCTAGCTTCCTGAAACATTTCCCTCAGCGTTTTTGGAGATGAGTCTCATTAGCAGCTCTTAGGTCCCATCAAAGTTCTCCAGTGTTCAGCACCCTCCAGTCGAAGACCGCTAGGAACACATCTGCATTTGAACAAGTTGAGTTTATTACTTGTTGCAACAAGGGAGAGCACACGCCGTGGAGGACCTGTGAGGCATCTTAGCAAGACAGGGTGAGGAGAGACTTCTGACAGGATTTGGGCTTTGGTTGGGTACTTTGGGGATGGTATAAGGAGGTAGGGGTTTGCTTTAGATTAGGTGCTGTCAGAAAGTGGGGACAATTCCATGACTGAGTATCTCAGTAAGTCTAATCTACAGAGAGAACCCACTACAGCGAGGATAAAGATAAGATATTTTGAGAGAGAGACCCACAGAACTTTTATTACAGTATATTGTCATCATTGTTCTATTGTCCTGTACTCACCCTCCTTCTTGTGACGACGTGAGATGATTAAATGCGTAACGATGAGACGCCGTGAGGTGAATGACGTAGGCGCTGTGACGCAGCGTCAGGCTACTGGGGACCTTCTCATGATTCATCAGGAGGATCAGCTGCTTCTCGACTGTGGTTGACCATGGGTAACAAACTGTGGAAAGCAGAACTGAGGATCAAGAGGGGCTCCTTTACCTTAATTCCTAGAGAGGCAGCAGTCACTCACATTAGCCAGGAGGGGGAGATGTTTGGCATTTTATGGGCTACAGGCTGATCCTGTTTTTGTCTACACCTAGACAAAATTGTGAAGCAGCCTTGTTTGATCACTCTATCGTGGTCTTAGAGTAACCTGGGCTGACACTGGTGTTCTCTAAGATTGTTTATGTCTAACGGGAGAATAACGTAGTAGCTTGTACCAACACTCAGGCCTCGCTGTGAGCATCAGACCACTGCCTGGATGACAGAGGCTGCTTTTCTTTCTCTCTTGGCCAAGGACAGATGAAGTCCAGCTACAGGACATTACTCCATGATACCCAGATTTCCCTACTGCTGATCAGGGTGGCTATCTAGATCTAGAAAACTCAGTCTGTAGTTGGGCTGGGGTTAGTCTCTCCTGCTTGCTGCAGGATGAACTGTTGCATTCTCTGAGATGAAAACGACTATACAGTAAGAAGTCAATATAAAAAGACTGGGAGGTTTGCATCAGCCAATGTAACACAAGCAATTATCCAAAGGAAATATCAGTAACAGGTCTTGAAGTCAGGGGCCTAGATTATGAAACTCAGCTAATGAAAACATGTCCCAGAATCCAATCAAGTCTGTGTTAGACTAGAAGGTGGCTTTTTTCCTTTAGCTTTGTCACAAACTCTTCTGCTTGCCCTGTATTGTTTACATAAATGTAACAAGCGATATTTGCTATAGTATGAACTCTCCCTTGGCTGGCTAAGAGGAAATCGAAGGCTAGGTGATCATCTGTGACAACACCAGCTAATGAATCTAGAAGAGTCTGTTGGGCTTCCAGAGCAGAAGTGTGTCGTTTATGACTTCTATTCGTGGTAGAGACAAGTTTGGGCCCCCTATCTAGTTGTACTACCCCCTCTTATGGAACTGCAGCTCAGAGTGTAGGCGTAAAGAGGGACTCAGTTATCCCTCTTACAAGTTCTCTTGAATAACCTGTGTTTGCCTCATGTGTGAGGCTTCTGGGTGTCCTTCCCAAGGTATAGGACTGATATCCGTATAAAAGTGGTACTCTAGTGGAGCACAGATTATATCAGAAATATAACTACTGGGGCGCCTGGGTGGCTCAGTCTGTTAAGCGCCTGCCTTCAGCTCAGGTCATGATCCCAGGGTCCTGGGATCGAGTCCTGCATCAGGCTCCCTGCTTAGCCGGGAGCCCGCTTCTCCCTCTCCCTCTGCTGCTCCCCCTGCTTGTGCTCTCTCTTTGTCAAATAAGTAAAAAATGTAAAAAAATACATATAACTATTTTTTACTACAATGGGAGTCAGCCAATTTGTGTCTCTCAAGATGGACAAAACCCTTTAGCGGAGTTAAACAGTTCTTGCAAAGTAGGTTGAAAAGAACAGACCTTTCCAGGGGCGCCTGGGTGGCTCAGTCATTAAGCGTCTGCCTTCGGCTCAGGTCATGATCCCAGGGTCCTGGGATCGAGCCCCGCATTGGGCTTCCTGCTCCATGGGAAGCCCGCTTCTCCCTCTCCTCCTCCCCCTGCTTGTGTACCTTCTCTTGCTGTGTCCTGCCCTGTCAAATAAATAAATAAAATCTTAAAAAAAAAAAAAAAAGAACAGACCTTTCCAACTGGAAAATCTACTCCTGATCCAGTGCCTGCTCCTGATTGACTTGGACTTGCTGATAAGATCCTAAGGACTTCACAGAAGCATTTTGTTGATGTGAGGTTAAGGTCCAATTTTTATAAGACCAAAGGTTGGGGTTAACACTGTGAAGGAAACAAGTACCAGAAGGGACCTGTAAAAGGGAGCCTACCTCCTGAGGTGTTTAAAGGAATAGCTATTAAATTTTTGTCAGCAGGGATAGGCAGGGGGTAACAGATCCAGCAGTCAGGTAAATTCAGGGCAGTGGTTACAGAAAAAAACACATAAGAGAGTTTGGGTTTTTTCTTAAGAGGCAGATGGAGACATAAGGAGGCAAAAATAATCAGACGGAGACAAGGGATGTCACATTAGCGTTCTAGAGGGCATCAAAGTAGAATAACAAGCAAGGTTAGTGGGAGAATAAAAGAACAAAAAGAGTGTTGGAGAATCAGAAAATTAATCTTGTTCTGTCATCTTGGGCAGAAGCTGTCCACCTCTGAAGTCAGCAGCTTCTGGAGGATTCCCAAGAATCCAAAGCTGAAGGTCTTTGGAGTGGAATGGATGTCTGGTAATCAGGATGAAGTGACATACATCTTTTGAGTTGGAAACCGTGAACCCAAGGATCAATACCTTGGATCTCTACTGCTATGACAGCTGTTAACAGGACCCGATAAGGTCCTTTCTGTGAAGGCTCAAGAGCAGTTTTTCTCCCGTCTTTTCCAGAAGACAAAATATCCAGCTTGCAGAGCATGCAGAGGCTGTTTAGGTAGATATTTGGAAATGTGGCTTGCACCTGTCGATGATAAAGCCGGAGGTATGGTATGAATGTCTCGCATGAATTAATCATATCTGCTTGTAATAGGGTAGAATCCAAGGATGGGGAGGGGGTGAAATTCCCAAACATATAGGGCTTATTATTTCATTAATCCTTATTAATTCATGAGGTAATTTGTGGGTCCCAGAGGGTGTTGACCTTACAGACATTAAAGCTTAAGACGTAGAAGTGTTAAGGTTTCTGAGAGCTTTGCTAGTTTTACATTGGAGTTCCATTAATTCTCTTTACTTTTTATGAGGACTCTGGATGATAAGGACAGTGGAGTTTCTGGGTAAAAGGGAGACATTTACAGAGCTCCTTATTAACAGTGCTGGTAAGTGAGTTTCCCTGTCACCGGAGAGAAAAGTTGGAATGCCCGGGATTGGGAAAAAATGAAATCAATGCTTTATTTTGCCAGATTTAGGGCTTGTTATTATTGAATTACGTGTCCCCAAAATTCATATGTTGAAGTCCTAACCCCCCGGACCTCAGAATGTGATCTTATTTGGAGACAGGGCCTTTGCAGATATAATTAGCTAAGTTAAAATGAGGTCATCAGGGTGGGCCTTAATCCGCTATGACTACTGTCCTTACAGAAAGGAGAGACTTAGACACAGAAGGGGAAATTGTTGTGAGAAAACATAGGGAAAGGCAGCCAGCTACAAGTCAAGGAGAGAGGCCTGGAATGGACCCTTCCCTCACAGCCTCAGGAGAAAACAACGTGAGTTCAAGCCCAACACTGGGCATAGAGCTGACTTCAATCAATCAGCCAGTCAATAAAAAAGTAGAAGAAACCCGCCCTGCCTTCATCTTGATTTCGGACTTCTCGTCTTCAGAACAGTGAGACAACCAATGTCTGTTATGTAAACTACCCACTGTGTGGTACTTTGTATAAAGCCTATTTGGAGGTGTTCAAGGGGCCCTCCAGGCTTTGGTTCCTGTCCATGACCCACTTTACAATTTAACCAGGATTGGGTTGTTAGCTGGTAGGGCATGTTTTAGAAACATTTTGACAATACCTCTAAAATTACCCCACCGACCGTAATGTAATATCATGGCCAATTTATCTCCACTGTTGTGGATAATATGAAGAATTCGTGCTAAAATCGGTTTGAAAGGATTTGGCAGTACCAACTAGCCACACGGACAAGTGCCAAATATTCTCTTTATGCAATGAGCCTTCAAGTATTTCCCAGGTATCTTTTTTCCAAATTAAAGGCTTCTCTCTGGCGGTTAACAATAGTTAATGACAATCTGTCTCTGACAGTTAACAACAATCTCAGAAGAATCTATTAATTCCTCCAAAGTCTTCTCCTTTCTGAGTGATCACAGGAGCAATTATCTGGGCCAAATCTACTTGTCTAGCATAGTGGCCAGCTAAGGTTTTCTTAGAAGATTCTGGGTCCTTGCACTTTGAATTGCACTCCCCTTTTATTATAGCTGTTTCCTTACATTAACAGCATCCAGAAGTTCTTGACTTGGTCCATTTTTACAGGTGTTTCTGTCAAGGTCAGCACACCTCTTTGTTTCAAAGCATTTTGAAGTCAGATTAACCTAAAACCATGTGCTATCAATATAAATATTCCTCCGTCTCTTACCATTTGGTCAATCTAGGCAAAGGCCACCAATTAAGTCATCAGAACTTATTTAATTTCTGTTGTAAGTTTATATTTTAAGAGTAAATTTAAGTCTGTGATAGCACACCCTGTTTGTCAATTTTGGGTTTTTGCTTTTCATGTATGAACAATTAACAAGCACAGTGAAATCGGGAGTCTCTAGAAGGTCTGTGCACTGTATGGATAGTTGCTTGTTGTTGTTGTTTAACAGAGACAAGCATTTTCGGGGTTTCCTTTTTCAGGCAAAGGAAGGAGGCTGGGTTAATAGTGTTGCAGCAATGGGACAGTGGTGTCCGAAGGAGAAAGCAACACCTTATGGGAGGTAGGTAACAAGCTGAAAAGTAGTGAGCATTGTTTTTGATTTCTTGTTTTTGAGAGAGACAGAGCATGCACAAGCAGGGGTGGAGGGGCAGAGGGAGAGGGGAAGAGAGAATCTTTTTTTTTTTTTTTAAGATTTTATTTATTTATCAGAGAGAGAGAGAGAGACAGAGGCAGGCAGAGGGAGAAGCAGGCTCCCTGCTGAGCAAGGAGCC